TAGCCCAGAAAGGAGAATAAGTTAGTCTATATGCATGGAATAACTTGTTGCATGTGTACTGATACAACAACAGATATTGTTTAGTCTAGAGTAAGTTTCATTGAATATATTATCAAATGAATAACAGATTGTCCCCTTTCAAGAAACATCTACTGCATTACTCAGTGATATGCAGGTATATGCCTTGATCACTTGTGTATTTAAATTCAATAATCAATTCTCTTGCTACTATTAAAGCTCATTTCTCTAAATTTCTCCATTAGTTACATCAAGTCTTCAAAGCATTAGTGCTTCACTCCATGGCTATCAACTGAGAATTATTTGTCATTTTGCTAATGGCAGCCTATCGACTGGTTGCTTCGTAATCGTTGCTCTAGCGAACAAAACAGAATTAATGAGTGATAGTATTATTCGACCTCAACTTGATTCCTTAACCTCAAACACAACCATTACACTGACCATGGATCATCTTCATCTCCCATTGGTTGTTATTGGAAGTGATTACAACAATGCTGCAGACACTGGGCTAGTTAGAATTACAGCAACTCCTTTATTAATCAGTGGTCCTGCAGATCCAAATGACACTGTTATCAGTAATACTCCTACATCAATTACTGCTCCTACTACATCAGTTACTGCTAGTATATCAACTGCTATTATTAATATTCCTACCACTACACCTCAAACTTCAGGTTAATAGTATTGTTCTTATTTTCATTTTTTTCTATTTATAATTATAGGATTATCAGGTGGTGCTATTGCTGGTATAGCAATCAGTATAATATTACTGATACTAGTTATAATACTTATCATTATTGTTTTACAATGTCTTTACTTCAGGAAAAGTATGTTAGTAATTATTTATATTTGCATTATTTGTTTTGTCTCAGAAAATAGAAAATCTTCTTGTGAAAAAGAAGCAACTGCTTTAGGTAATATATCATCAATTCCTTCAGTACCTAATGAAGCATATGCAGCAGTTGATTCAATTGTTAATGTACAAGAGAATGTGGCATATTCTTTACCTGCAGGACACACCATTACTGCAGCTAGTCCTCCTACTGGATCATCAACTGCTCCACCTGCTGTATATGAAACTATTAATTCTTAAATCATTCAGTGCACAGAAAAAAAGTTTGCAATTTCCTACAATTCTCAGCAAGCACCGGCACAATTTCAAACAAAATATAATCACAATAATAATAAATTCAGTCTCGTTATTTACAATTATTAATAGTAACAAAAATGATAATTAGCAAATTATTAATGTTATACTTTGAATTTCTTGATTGGTCTAAAGAAATTTAAAATTATAACAAAATACTGTATCTATGATGATACCGAGGCGTTTTTTTTTTTTACAACAAGAAAAATAGCACAATTGCTAATAGACAACATAAATAAAGAAATAAAATATTTAATGGAGTTATAAATTACAAGTTACAATGAACATACAGTTTTATATAGGAGAGAGAGGAGGAGAGTTTGATAGAAGAGGGCAGAGAGTTCCATTTTAATAACTATTAATAATTTAACCATCAATCAATATGGTTCTTCAGATGTTCTTAAGGCCTTCATAC